CAACTTATAATTTTATATAATATTATATAACATAATAAATAAATGTAAGAATATCGTTTGGGATCTCTTAGGAAAGGGTAGTTGGTGGCGCAACTCAACATCGGGAGGAAGGAGCGTGTGTTGCAAATAAAAACGGAACGAATTGTTATTGGAGGGTAGAAGACGCGTGAACTAACGCGTGGAATGGGAGAGTGAAGCTTTGGTTTTTATATATGGTAGTACTAGTACTAGTACTTTGATAATTTCGTTGTGGATAAATGGATATAATTGTAAATATATTTGTTGCTTTTTGTGGCAAAATTAAGGAAATGAGAGGGCAAAGAAGGCCACCATAGATTTCTTCTGATCATTTGTAATCAATGATAGGGACCAGAGGAAAAGTTATGAAGGAATATGTTTCAAAATGTGGTTGGATGTTAAAAAGTAATACTACTTTTTTTTTTCTTGTTTTAATTTAGTTGTTTCTCATTCGGTTCTATAATATATTAAAATGTTACGAAAAGTTAAAATTATCTAATAGTTTTAACAAGATCAAGATTATTCATCATGTGACTCTCGTGTTAGAATGCGGATCACATGATGAATGGTTTTGATCTTATCAAGATTGTCAGGCAAATTAAATGTAATTATTTTAAATTTATTTTTATTATTTTAGTTTATTTTTAAAGATAATAAAATTTTTTATTAAAAATAAACATATGAGGATGATGCAAAAAAGTATAAAAAATACCATGAATAACTTTAATTTTACAAATAAACAAGGCTAAAATTATCATATTATCCTTAATTAATTAATAGCTTTTTATACAACCGTCTTTTTGTTTGTGACGGGATATTGGAGGGTATATATGTTTCAAAATGTGGTTGGATGCTAAAAAGTGGTACTACTTTTTTCTGTTTTAATTTAGTTGTTTCTCATTTGGTTTTATGATATATTAAATGTTATTATTTTAATTTTAATTTTATTAATTTTGTTTATTTTTAAAGATAATAAATTTTTTTTATTAAAAATAAACATATTAGGATGATGCAAAAAATTATTTTAAAAAAATACTATGAATAACTTTAATTTTAGAAATAAATAAGATTAAAATTATCAAATTATCCTTAATTAATAGCTTTTTATACAACCATCTTCTTGTTTGTGACGGGCTATTGGAGGGTATAATTGAAAAAAAAAATTAATGATGCATTAATCTCCGAGAATGACACTTAAAATAAATTAATTTCAATATGATAAATAAAAAAAGAACAAAACAAAACAAAACAAAACAAAACAAAAAGGAGCTGAAGGGAAGAAATTCAATCTAGCACAAAGTTTAAGGTACGAAAAAAGCCACGTCAGTGATTCGACATTTCCACACCAAGCAGAGAGATTATATTAGTAAATTTTTTTTACTAAATCTAACGGATTTAAAATTTAATTATATTAAGGGCCTGTTTGGTAGAGCGGTTAAAATTCAGCGGATAGCGGGTAACGGATAGCAAATAGCTGTAGCGGGTAACGGGTGACGGGTGGCGGTTAGCGGATAACGGATGGTGGATAGCGGAAAATGGGTAGCGGATGGTAAATAGCGGATTCGATAAATATAACTGTTTGGTTATACAATAATCAGCGGTTGTTGTTTAACATCAAATGACTAATAAGGACATGTTAAAAAACAAATAAGTGTATTTTTTAAAATATTTTTATTTTTTATTATTAA